CATAAACTGTAATAAATTGTTTGGCAGATTGTGTAAACAGTTTTGAACTTGTGGCTTCAGTACTGTACGATGCTTGTTAGTGGCATAACTTGCCTGCTGCAATATTCACTGCTAACACTGAGTATGTTTACATGGACACCAATAATCCGATTTTAATACAATTAAGATAATACTCTGATTAAGAGACTACCATGTAAACATTAATTTTTGATTACCTTAATCTGACTAAAGTCATAGTTGAACTAAACAGAAATCAAATTGAGACATGTGGAGCATTCCTATTTAAATCACATCATTGAAGTGAAGTACAGACAAGTAAATAGTTTAATCAAACTATTTCCAATTGGTAGAAATTTTTTGCTAAATTTTGCGACAGGACATACAAAAGGCAGTTGACAGGAATTTGATTGCAAACAAATGAGAATGGCTTCTTGCAAGAGCATACTTTCAGTGCAAGCAGGAAACAATCACTGTGATCTCAACTAGGACCTCAGAGTTTGTCATGGGGGCATGCCATGAATAAAAAGTTATAGAATTAAATGGCAAAGGTTTCTTAAGAATGTGTATCAACTTTTATCTGTTTGCATGCATAGTGTAAGAAATTAACTTCAGTTGGCTGTGTCGCAAAAATTAACAATAAAATAGCAAAAAATAAAAATAAAAATGGTGCCATGATGAACACAAACTGTTGTTGGGTGAAACACTAGAGAAAACTGGCATTGAATAGTGATATTATGATGTTATATCAACTAGGCTACTATAACATGTAAAATGAAAGGTACAGTCAAAAAGCAACTGAAATAAACACATGAATCATATATTTGTCTTATTCAGATTAAGGCATAATTATGTAACTGATGTCCATATCACCATTAGGGAAGGGTAAATGTTTTTTTTTTTTTTCCATGTTAACTTTTTGATGCTCGTGATTAGTGGCTAGAAGAGGTTGCATTCTCACTATTTATTTTAACGCATGTTATGCTCAAAACACACCCATAACTCATTGATGGTTTGCAAAAATTGGCCTAAAAGCATTTGTAAGATAATCTGCCTCCATCAATTTGTGAGAAAATCTGTCTGGATGGATTTGTGAGAAACTCCGCAGGTATGCAGCTGCACTAGATTTGATGTTTGATCAAGGGTTATATGTAGACGAACTGTATTTATTTATGAAATTTATGAGTACATTTATTTGGTAACACCACTAGCTTTTTACCATACATGCCAACACTCCTATTTTTCCCGGGAGTCTCCTGTATTTCATACCCATCTCCTGTTTTGTTCTGGCTCCCGGAAAACTCATTTAATTTTAATTTTTGTGAAGGACGTTGAGGATTCCATTACAGTAATGCACCCTGTTGCTGATTAAGCCTGAACAGGTTTCTTTAATTCCTCACTGAAAACAAAGCATCTAATTCTAGCAATGTTTTTAAGATGATAGTATGTTGATTTACTAACTGCTTTGACATGACTGTTCAAACTCAGATCTGACTCCAGAATCGCACCAAGATGCTTGACCTTATTTTTTGTTGTTTGACCTTCAGTGCCAAGATACACATTCACATTGTTCCCAATTGGCACATCCAATTGTTAATTTCATCAATGCACTGGCAGAGGGTGTCAATAGTGCTGAAGTCATTAGGAATTATAGCTAAGTTGATCTGAGTGTCATCAGCAGCTGTGGTAGAAGATTTGGTTCTTTCTCATTATTTGGCTCAGTGAGAGCATATAAATGTTGAACAGGAGAGGAGCCAGAATTGAGCCTTGTGGGACTCCACATGTCATGGGTGTCAACCTCGACCTATGGTCACCTATACTGACATATTAACCTCTCCCTTCAAGGTAAGATCTGAACCATTTGAGGACCATCCCAGACAGCCCAACCCAGTTTTCCAGCCTATCCAGAAGTACGCTGTGATCAACAGTTCCAAATACAGCACTGAGATCAAGCAGTACCAGCACTGTTAGTTTGCCTGAATCTGTATTTAGGTGTCTATAATTGATTATCTTTATAAGAGCGCTCTCTATACTGTGAAGTGCTCTGAAACCAAATTGAAAAACCCTAGAAGTTTAAGAACTTGTTAGTTAAAAACAACTTTTTCAATGATTTTGCGCCATAAATTTGATAAAAGTGTTAAGTTAACTTAATCAATTGGTGTTGGGACAACCCTGAATTTTTTACAGAATAGGACACAAAGCTTGTGTCACTAACAGAAACTAGCAAACACTGCGCAGGTGTTTTATTACTACATTGCTGATGATGCAGATTGTATTTCTTTTTGAGGACTAAACAAATCTGAATAGCAGCTTGTCATAGGGCTATTGTTTGCAGTACAAACTTTAACTCATTGATGCTTGAGTAATTATGGTGATGTGGATATTGTATATTGTAACAATGATTCCTCATGATTAAAATTTTGGAATAAAACCTGTATTTAGCTGTATGTCATTAGTTTTTAATTACATTAAACTCCTTTTCTCTGCTATGTGGTGACTGACAACGGAACCTTAAAATCCTAAAAAATGCAACAAATGTAATACAGTTTATATGAACATTGATATCCTTCAGTTATAATTAAACTTCAAAACATCTGCTGTGTTGTTAAAGATTTCCAGCTTGCAAACACTGATCAGTAATTGCAACATCTTTTGTTTATGATGTGTGTATGAATGATAAATATGCGGTGATCATGATGATATTTTTAGCAATTCACAATTTAAATTATTATCTGAACTGTATCAAAACTGTTGCAAGGACTGTGACTGCCGTGTTTTGTTTCAAGAAATGTGTCAGGTTAGATTTAGTGGCATATTTCTTAATGTCTATTAGTTTAAATTATGTTAAATTAATGTTAAAATTTTTATATTGTTTATAAAATGATTATGTCAAAAAATAGATAATCTATCGATAAATTGAACTGACAAATGCAATTAAATGTTTATACGGTGTAAAAGATGGTTGCACAACTATGAATTTATGTTGGTACAACATAAAGGAATTAAGTTAATATTACTTTTAACAAATTTAAGTTGATTGGACAAAAAAATAATTAAGCTGTCCACCAAAACTCTCAAGAATTATTGTGTTGTATCAGCTCATTTTAAATAAGTAGTTAAATTTGAACAAACACCATTTGAACAAACATCATTTTTGAGTGTAGGTGTGTTTAGGATTCAAGGTTTTTTTCTAAACACTTTGGGCTGAAATTTATGGTTTGATTCCATAAAAACAATATTTTAGGATCATTAAGAACACATAAAATGTGCTTTGTAAATGTTACATACTTGCATATAAATGAGACCAGTTGGTAGTTTTGCACTCATTGTGGCTTCTGCCTGATTTTCTTATACAAACATTTTCTCAAAAACCTATAGGCTGTCGCACCAAAGTGACATAACCAAAACCAAACATGCAATGCTTATTTTCATTCTTTTTTTTAGCAAAGGGAAATGTTATGAAAAATGTCTGCAATTTGCTTACGTATTTGCAACATATATTTGGATAGAAAAGGGCTTAAAAAGAAGCACTGTAAAAAGAGGATGAATTGTTTCTTTTTGCACAGGACGGAAAGTCTTCAGCAAAGTGTTACCAAAAACGGAAATTCTTATACTCAAGTCTTTGGTGTCATGGAAGCCAGCAAAGGTAAATCATCAATATAAATATATTTATTTTAAATGCTCCACAGTATTTATCTACACTTTACTTTATCACTATATATTAGTATAGACTGTTTAATATTAACTTATGGATATCGAAATGTGATATAGTGAAAAAGAAAACAAAAAAAATGTCTTATTACTATTCTATTAAAATATTTTGGGGCAACCAGCAGTTTGGGACAACCAGTAATGTAAGTTCTATTTTTTTTTTAGATAAAAAAATAAGAGCTTTACAAAATATAGAGTAGGTGAGGAGACGAAAATAACAAAGCGATTTCCTGGAGTCCTGACAGCATTGCTTTCCAGGCAATAACAGCACTTTCTGCATGCAACCTTTGATGGAGCCAAATGTCACCTGATTTCGTCAGTGTGTGCCGAATTTCAGTTTAAATTAAATTGCGGTACTTCTTACCACATTACAAATTGTGTTTATCTTTTCATGTGGCACGGTTATGATCAGTCTACAGATTATTTCAAGCTATAACGTGTCCCTAAGTTTGTCAGTTTCCTTTAGAAGTAAATCAGGCCTAAAAAGTAAGAGTTACTGAGGGGAATTCCTGTGTTTGCTTTTTATGTCCAACCACTAAAAGTCATTCCTTTTTTTCACATCCACATTAAAGTTTGCAGTATTTCGATTTAGACAAAATGAAACTTACATCTTAATGAAACTTACATTTAAAATGAAAATCCTGTTTAATTATTTTTGCACACATAACATATTTGCATTCAATATATTAACAAGGTCATATTCAGGTCTACCAAATTAAACAAGATATAGTAATATATACCCTTAATTAGAAATATTAAATAAACTATAATATATTGCATAAATCTTGAATATATCGCTGTACTTTTGTCCCTACTGATGGGATCAAAAGTAACAATGTTTGTTTATGTTTAAAGTGTAATTATTTTTAAGATGTTCTACATTTGTACAAAATACCACCTCATACTGATAGTCTACACTTATGAGTTAATATTTTGTTGTCTGAAACATTATATTAAAAAAAAAATATATATATATATATATATATATATATATATATATATATATATATATATATATATTAACCACCCCAAAGAATTGCTGAAGAACCATTTAATATATTTTATACAGCACTTAAATCATTCCCATATGACTATATAACAAAGAAACATATAGAAAGTCCCGACAGTACACAAAAGCAATGTGTGTGTGGGCAGTCAGGCTATTTTATTCATTCAAAATATAACAAAAGCAAACATTATGTAAGCTCATAACTCCTTTTCAAAGGCGAAAATTTGCTCCAAACCACATTAGAGATTAGAGGTAACAATATTTATTTCCTTTAACAGTGCAGATGAATCTGACGAGCAGTGAAATAAGAATTGTGCTGGTTGGAAAGACTGGAGTAGGAAAGAGTGCAGCAGCAAATACCATCCTGGGAGAAAATGCATTTAGATCAGACCTGTCTTCATCATCCGTGACCACAGAGTGTGACAAAGTCAGAAAAAATGTCAAAGGGCAAAAAGTGGCTATTATTGACACTCCAGGCTTGTTTGACACAAAAGAGAAAAGCACCGTCATTGAGGAAAAGATTAAACTGTGCATATCCCTCTCCGCACCGGGACCTCATGTTTTTCTCATAGTTGTGCAGCTTGGGAGATTTACTGAAGAGGAAAAAAATACTGTGGAGCAAATTCAGAACATCTTTGGTGAACAAGCATCAAAATACACCATAGTGCTGTTTACACATGGAGAAAATTTAAAGAAAACCCAAAAAAGCATTCACAACTTTGTTAAAGAATGTCCAGATCTGCTGAACTTTATCAAAACTACCAGTAGGCGTTATCTTGTTTTTGACAACAATGCAAATGATCCAGAACAGGTTAATGTGCTGTTTGAACAGATTGCTCAGCTTATGACTGTAAATGGTGAAGAGTATTACACTAATGATGATCTTCGAGCAGCTGAGAGAGCGATAGAAGAAGAAAAAGCAAGACTTTTACAGCTAAAAATAAAAGAGCAAGAGGCAAGAGACAGAGCAGAAAGAAACAATCATTTTCTAAAAGCTGGTTTGGTTGTGGCAGGAGGTGCTGCTGCTGCTACTGTCTCTGCTGCTGCTGTTGGTGTAAAGCCCTGCTGTCTTCAGTGAGAAGAGCTGTCTGATTGCCTAATCACTCATTGGTTTGTCATTGATTAACAAATACTGAGTGACAACTTATTATTTACTAGACACTAGTTTCTGTCTGCAAGCTTGTAATTCTACTAATAGAGGTCTACTAATAACAATAACATATGTTTTTTAAATACTTTTCTGCCTTGTTTTGCTAGCCTTATCAGTGTACACATAACCTAAAACTTTCCGAAGTATGGCTTAAAAAAGATTAAGTTGTAATTAAAAAGGCGCAGCTTTGTGCCTATCAATCTAAACATCTGCCATTATGTTTGACAGTCAACATCCTTCAGATGGATGCTGATATGATTAAGGTAAATAAAGGATAATGTACATCCAGCAAGTTGTTCTCACACAATACATTTTAACCTTACTGGCTTAAGACTTTCAGTCTCATTCACTTCCATTGATTTTTAGCCATAAAAACAGCTTGTTATGCTAATTTTGTTTTATTTAACTTTCCTGTTAATTTTTATATATAAACAGACTTGTAGAACAAGTAGTTCAACCATTCCTAACCATTTCTCCATTCTCCATTTCTGCAACTGAATAAGAAGTTCAAAAACAATCGCAGAAAAGAGTTACAGTTCCGCATTTTAGAATAGGGGCCTACTCACACTATGCCATCCGTACCGTGCCCAGGCCCGTTTCCCGGATCATTTGAGAAGTGTGAGTGCGCTGAATCGGACTCAAGCATGGTTGGAAGAGGTGTGACTGAGCGCGGTTCACTTGGGCTTTGGCACGGTACGCTTGTGTGTGAGTGCAAAACGCGCCAAAGCCCGAAACTGAAAGCGAGACGTGACTTTTACAGGGCTGTTTCATATGGATTTATTATTCATTCTTACTGTTCAGTGAACGCAAACTGCCATAGATTATTAAAGACGAGAACTCCTCACAGCACGTCAGCTGCGTGGCTTCAGCAGACCTCCTCATTCCTGCAGCACGAGAGCTTTATGATTGTTTATGAGCGCCAAAAGTGGCGGATCTGTTCGGCGAAATATCTGACTGTGTGTCGCCGCATCCCTAAGGACTGCTTGGCGAAATATTTGACTGAATGTCACTGCATTTTAAACGACTGAAACGATATAACTAGAGAACTCTCCACTGTGCTGCTGAGTGAGAGAGCGCTTCTCACAAAACAGCGCAGCAGCGATGACGTAAGCGTGCCGAGGCCCATTTGTGTTGTGATTGCGGGCCGTCTGGGGAGACGGGAGGGGGGACAAGCGTGCTTTGGCCCGGTTCGAGGCAACTGTACCTTGTGTGAGTACGGCCTAAGTTCAATAGCTGCAGACTTTAATCTTCTGTGGAGGCAGAGTTTTAGCGCTCAATTACATAATAAAGTATTTAATTCACAACCTGTATATTTGGCAGAAAGACTTCAATACAAACTTTAAAAGAGTAAAAGAGTTTTGATTTCTCAGTTTGTGATCCTTTGTGTGTGTTTATAATACTTCACTGTGTCTTTATTCAGTTCAACATTGTAATAATAATGTCAAGCTGGAATATTAATAAAAATCATTTATTAAAAAAAACAATTGTTTGTTGTTTTTTTGATGCTTAGGACTTTGTCATGTACAAAGTTTGTGTAACATACTACTGGTTTTGAGCTTTGAGTATATTTTCTTTTTGAACAAACAAAGTTCCATTTTTCCAGGAGCACAGGAGCCGCTTCGTCTGGTTCTGCTCGGCCTTCAGGGAGTCGGCAAGAGTGCAGCCGGAAACACCATTCTGAACAAAGAGGAGTTCCACTCAGACATCAGTGCCGCTTCCCTCACATTAACAAGTGAACAGAAGGATGCTGTTGTCTTTGGGAGGAGAGTGACTGTTGTGGACACTCCTGGCATTTTAAACTGTGATGAGCCTAATGCTCATGTGAAGCAAGAAGTGCTAAGAGCCTTGAATCTGTGTGATCCCGGACCCCACGCTATTCTCCTGGTTATTCAGCTGGGCCGCTTCACTGAGCAGGAAAGACGAGTGATGGACACTCTACAGAAGATCTTGTGCTCAAATGTGAATTTGTACACAACAGTGCTCTTTACATATGGAGACAAACTAAAGAATAAAAGTTTAGACCAGTTTATAGCAGAAGATAAAAACCTGCAAAACCTCATCCAAAAATGTGGATCACAGTATCATGTGTTCAATAATACTGACAGAGAAAACAAACGCCAGGTCAGCGAGCTCTTTGAGAAACTGGACCATCAGATAGGAAAGAGAAGCAAAAAATATTACGTTAGGATGAAAAGAGAGCAGAGTAAATCCTGGAAAACACAATACTTTTACATTGCTGCTGCTGCTGTAGCAGCTCTGTTCCTTTTTAGTACAGCAGACAAGACACCAATACCAACTCAACCAGTTGCTCCAAGTGCCCTAAGTGAGAGAGTAGCAAACGTGGAAGCAGATGTGCCTCAAAATGAAACATTTTGGGAAATGATGCATGCTATTTTGAACAAGGACAACAGAGGGAAAGTCTATTTCTTTGGTTTAGTACCATTGTTATTTCTTATGAGGAAATTTATGAAAAAATAGTTCTTAGAGGGCAACTATTTTACTCTTCTAACTAGATTTAAGACAAGCCTTTGGTGCTTCCAGAATGTGTCTGTAAAGCTTTAGTTCAAAATACGTAACAGATTATGTAATATACAGTGCTAAATATGCCCTTTCAGGGTCAGCAAAGCTGTTTTTGTAGCCTGTGCCTTTAAATGCAAATGAGCTGGTTCTCCCCGCCCACCACTCTCATGTACATATCTGCTTCTTCTGCATTCTGCACAGCAGTCAGAGATAGAAACAGGTAAAGCAGGGATCCAGTTTATTAGTCAAAAGTGTCAAGTAAGTCCTTTGATTTGTGGTGGGGTTTATTCAAGCTTTTCTGAAATGATAAGTCACACACAAACGTTTAACTTTGCACTGCTTTTGCACATCTACTTGTGGCAAATGTGACATCACATGAGTTAATATATAGACTCCCTGTTATATACACTGCTATATCCCTTTTGCTTATGTACAAAATAAAACAGATTTAATGTCCACAAACCAGGAGTCCTGTTGTATGTTTGTAGCGTCCTTTTGTACTGACACTATGTGGCTAGTGTAGAACACTTTGTCATGTATATACACACATTGCCTTTTTGGAAGAAATAATTGTATATTGACTGTTTTAAATAGTAAAGATTCATATCCCCTCAAATTCTAAAGGGTTTCTTAACATAAATGTCTACACTGCAGAAGATTCTTTGCCTTCTTTGTAATCAAAATATTAAGTGCAAGCGAAATAATCTGCCAATGGGGTAAGCAAAATAATCTTGTTTTTCCTTTTGACGTAAGATTATTTTGCTTGCCCCATTGGCAGATTATTTTGCTTGTTTTAAGGAAACACTTATTTTGACATAATATTTGATAAAACAAGACAATATGTTTAGCTTGTCTAGAAAATTCTTCTTCATTAAAGAATTTTTTGATATTTGGACTAGACAGAAGACAAAAAAATCTAAGAAAGAGTGTACTTGCACTTTGAGTTATTGAATAAAAATGGATGGAAATGTCTTTTATACAAATATCTTTTATATTTGTATATCATAAATGTTGTTTTTTGAATGTTATTTTGAATATTGAAACAATCTGAAACATGAAATTAAAGGCTTGTTTGTTTGTTTTTTTCTGTAAAAGTTTCAGTTTTTAAAGGAATCAAATTAATAAGAAATAAAAAAACTGAGGACATTGAGGTTTTGTCATCCTTGCACAAATTTAGAAATGTAAAACTGTGGTTGTGTGTGGATTCTTGCACAACAGTTTCAGAACAATGGCATAGCTACAGTGGCAGAGAGAGCTTAAGTGCATGCAGTTTAAGAAAACATGTGCGATTACAAAATACACCAGCACATTGAGAAAAGATCTTCATCTGTTTGACAGCACAAGTCCTGAAAATCTTCACAACGCAAACACATTTTTAAAAAATGCATTTTCTCACAACACAACGCAAATGTTTCAAGGACACTGGAATCAAGATATTAAAATAAACAAACAATGAACTATAAACAATAAACTTTTCAAAGATTTTCTACTTACACTGAACAATAGTCATGACACAGCAGCATCTGTCATGGTTTTGGGTCCCCTTGAAACATTTCTGTTCTATTTGTGTTGTGAGAAAATGCAGCACATTTTCATAAATTGTTTGTAAAATGTGTTTGCATTGTGAGGATTTGCAGCATGTGCTATCAAACTGATGATGATCTTTTCTTAATTTGCAAGTGTTTTTTGTAACTGTACGTGTTTTCTTAAATTGCAGCATGTTAAGCTCTCTCGGCCACTGTATAAAACACATGTTTTCTAAAGCAAATGCTTTGCTATAAAGTAACACAAATTTATAAAGAAAATTTTTTAAAAATCATAATTAAAGTCATTAAATAAATATGTATTATACAATAATACAATGTTTCTTCTTAAACAATTCCAGAGCAGCGACATCCATGTGAGGAGCTCAGGATTGTTCTCTTGGGGAAGACTGGAGTTGGGAAAAGTGCAGCTGGAAACACCATTCTAGGCGCAGAATATTTCAAAGAGGATTTTTCATCTTTATCCATGACGAAAGTGTGCTGGAAGGCTACAAAGAACATTAACAGCACAAAGGTCGCTGTTATTGACACACCAGGTTTGTTTGACCGCAGCTTTACTATAGAGGAGATAGTCAGCAGGATTAAGCTCTCCATCCCTCTTTCTGCTACCGGTCCACACGTCTTCCTTCTGGTGCTTCGGCCTGGCCGATTCACAAAAGAAGACAAAGACACGGTGGACATCTTTGTCAAGATCTTTGGAGAAGATGCAGGTAAACATTTCATGATTTTGTTTACACATGGAGACGAGTTGAAGGGGAAAACTATTGAAGAGTTTATCACTGGAAATCCTGATTTGAAGATGCTCTTTGAGAAATGCCAGGAGCAATACCATGTTTTCAATAATAAAGTCAAGGATGCCCTGCAGGTTGATCAACTTTTTGAGAAAATGCAAAAGGTGATTTCTGGAAATGGAGGACACTTTTACACCAGTGAAATGCTTGAGAAGGCAGAGAATGCCATTGAGGAGGAGAAAAGGCGAATCTTGCTAGAAAATGAAGAGCAGAGGAGCCGGGAACTGGAGATGCTGAAAACCAGCTTTGAAGCAGAGGCTCTGAAACAGGCCATGACAGAGCTGTGGGAAAGACACGAGAGAGAGGCCAGAGAAAAGGCTGAGAGAAACAACAGATATCTTCAAATAATTGCAGAGTTTCTGGCTGCTGCTCTTGAAAAGTTCATTATGAGGAAACTTGGGCATAATCAATAAGTGGTCTACAGCTGTTAGATCAGGGGTGTCAAACTCAATTCCTGGAGGGCCAAAGCCCTGCACAGTTTAGTTCCAACCCTGCTCCAACACACTTACCTGTAGGTTTCAAACAAGCCTGAAGGACTCAATTAGTTTGATCAGGTGTGTTTAATTAGGGTTGGAACTAAACTGTGCAGAGCTGCGGCCCTTTTGGAACTGAGTTTGACACCTGTGTGTTAGATGCTAGAAGACATCTAGGTGAAATATGTGGCTTCTGTGCCACCTAGTGGAATTAATAAAAAGCATATTTTCAAGCAGCTTTTCCACACTTACCACATCATTAAAGTTCACCCAAAAATGACATTTCTGTCATCTTTTGTCCACTCTTTACTTGTTTCAAACTTTTTAAGCCATTGACTTCCATAGCACAAAAATTATAATAATGGAAATCAATGGCTACCAGTTTCAAAACATCTTCTTTTGTGTTCAACAGAAGAAAGCAGCTCATAAATGGTTGGAACCACTTGAGAGTGCATAAACATTGATAACACTTTCATTTTTTGGTGATCTACGCATGTAAAGAGGTCATTAATGAATAGTTATTGTAATGTGTTCGTTGATATTCATTCATAATTCATAATTGATTTTCAGCCCTTTGTGTTTGCTCTGATTTACTGAGGCAAGTGTCTGAAAGGCTGTCAGTAAACAGCAACTTTAATCAAAAAGTATCATCTGCTCTGCATAGACCATTTTGAGGGATGTAAAGAAAAACAATGGTCCCAGAGTATTTCATGTTTTACATTTTTAGCTTTTTCTGTAGCTTCCGAGAATCCAAAAAGAGCCACATATTGATCAATAACGTTATGATGCTGTTTTAACATTAAGTTATGATTGAATTGCCTCCTGTTAGAGTTATGAAATAATTTGTTAACAATCAGGAAATGTACATGGGCCTGTAAATGTTAAAGGTTCACAAATGTTATCCAAAATGTTATCAAAAACATATAAAAAATGTTCAATCCTGTCATCATTAACTCAATCTACACTTGTCATGAAACTGTTTGGATTTACTTTTTTTGTTATTAAACACAAAATAATTTACTTTATTAAATGTTGGAAACCTGTATCCATTGACTTCTGTGTTTGTTTTTCCTACTGGTTACAGATGTTTACCACTACAAAATATCTTTGTTTGTGTTCAACAGAAAAAAGGAAACTCATAAATGTGTGTTACCATTTGAGGGTGAGTAAATTGTGAGTAAATTTTTATTTTGGGTTAAGAACATGTTAGAAATGGCTGTGTCAGAGCTCTCACATTAAAAGCAGACAATCTTCTTTTTTAATTATAATAAAATCTACAGATAAGTAATTATTAAAATATTGAAATTATTCTATTTAATAAACATTTTCTGGAGCAATATAATACAATCATATAGCCTGAAAATAACATTGAAATAATAATAATAGATATTGTTATAATTAATATTAATAATTCTGATTATTTATTATTATTATTATTATTATTATTATTATTATTATTAAATTTTATTAGTTTAACACCATCTCTGATTGCTATTGCTTTCAGCATTTTTACGATACTGTCTATTTTAGGAAACTCTTCATTTGATAATAGGTAAACTGGATTTCCCTTTTTTGTTTGGCTTTCCTTGACTTGCTTTCATTACCTGGTATAGGCTAATCATAAGATAAAGCATCATTGAATAGTAATAGTTTCTTCATATTAGATTACTTTTGTTTAATATGTATTCTGCATCCCCGACAACAAGTTACTTTTTGAAGAATATCAATGAGTGTGTTCATAGTTTTAAAGAGACCTTTAACTGCTTGCTATAACCATTTAAAATGAGCAATGAGTGAGCTCATATTTCATTTGAATGAATATTTTAGAATTAAGTAGACTGTTATTATAATTTAGGTTCATTCGGCATTTTCTTTGCTTCCTGTCTAATGTTTTTTGTTTGCAGAACAGACAGATTCTTATTAAGACTTTTTGAGCATTTAGTCTGTTTCTACAGTTTTAGTTATGAAGAAAATGTTTTCCAGCACAAAACACAAATATAGTAACATTATTATTATTTTGCCTCGTGAATAAACTGATTTATTATTAACTGGCAGTAGTGTTTTTTTTATTCATTCAAGAATTCATAATATATTAATCATAACTAAAATTACAGTCTTCAGGTATACCTTTTAAAAAGAGTGTGCAAAAAATCCCCGGTCCTCAAACCGCTCCAGTGTGAAGGAATATTTTCCTACAAGTCTCATCAAAAGCCTTTTGTTTGTATTGATTTTATTTTTGGCCTACGAAGTCTTACAGTTAACAAATGAACGCTGATTTGGTCAGCCACATTCACAGAAAAGCCATGCTGGAACACGAGCTGCTCTGTGTGGTAGTCCAAGATGACAGTAAAGACTGGAGGTAGGTTTAAATAAGAGATGTTTATTTGTACAGAATACAGAATAAAAGAAACTATAAAGGAGAATGGCACTACATTAAAACAGCTTAAAAACAAATGACATGAGTATTCACTCCTTTTAAAATCATACCACAACCTCATGTTTTTGGTTCATTTAGGTTTCTTTGGTCCATGTTTTATTAAAATTTCAGTCAAGCATCACCACAGGGTTTTTAGAAGGAGACTAAGAATCATCTTTTAGGGTTCAGATAGTAACACTAACATATACTCACTGGCCACTTTATTAGGTACACCTGTCCAACTGCTCATTAAAGCAAATTTCAAATCAGCCAATCCCATGGCAGCAACTCAATGCATTTAGGCATGTAGACATGGTCAAGATGATCTGCTGCAGTTCAAACTGAGCAACAGAAGAAAGGTGATTTAAGTGACTTTTAACGTGGCGTGGTTGTTGGTGCCAGATGAGTATTTCAGAAACTGCTGATCTACTGGCATTTTCACGCACAATTATGCTTAAGGTTTACAGAGAAAAAAAAGAGAAAATATCCAGTGAGCAGCAGTTCTGTGGGCGCAAATGTCTCGTTGATGCCAGAGGTCAGAGTAGAATAGCCAGACTGGTTTGAGCTGATAGAAAGGCAACAGTAACTCCAATAACCACTCATTACAACCAAGGTATGCAGAAGAGCATCTCTGAACACACAACACGTCCAACCTTGAGGCGGATGGGCTACAGTAGCAGAAGAACACACCGGACACACGACTCTTTTCAGCTAAGAACAGGAAACTGAGGTTACAATTAGCACAGGCTCACCAAAATTGGACAATTTAGATGGTAAGGTCAGAATATGGAGTCAACAACATGAAAGCATGGATCCATCCTGCCTTGTATCAACGGTTTAGGTTGGTGGTGGTGGTGTAATGGTGTGTGGGATATTTTCTTAGCACACATTGGGCCTATTAGTACCAATTAAGCATTGTGTCAATGCCACAGCCAACCTGAGTATTGTTGCTGACCACGTTCATCCCTGTACAACCACAGTGTACCCATCTTCTGATGGCTACTTCCCAGCAGGATAATGCGCCATGTCATACAGCGTGAATCATCTCAGTCTGGTTTCTTGATCATGACAATGAGTTCACTGTAATTAAAAGGCCTCCACAGTCACTAGATCTCAATCCAATAGAGCACCTTTGGCATTTGGTGGAATAGGAGATTGGCATCATGGATATGCAGCTGACAAATCTGCAGCAACTGTGTGATGTTATCGTCAATATGGACCAAAATCTCTGAGGAATATTTCCAGCACCTTGTTGAATCTATGCCATGAACGATTAAGGCAAAATGGGGTCCAACCCAGTACTAGTAAGGTGTACCTAATAAAGTGGCTGGTGAGTATGCAAATGAACCGTGCTTACAGAGCAAAGGCACAAGATGCTGTACAAAATATACAACATTTGTGACTTTGAACCTCAAAACCAGTCATAAGTGTCAATAAATTGAGATTTATTATATAAAGCTGCATGACGAAGCTTTGATTTGATGTATGGTTTGTTCTTATATGACAAAATTTGATTAAGATACAGTAAAACTATTGGACATCATGTAATCTGAAGATAAAAGAAATTTAAATGAAGAAAAAAATCACCAAAGTTGTCTAAATTAAGTTGTCCAAATTTTAAAAATGCATATTACTAATCAAAAATTTTGTTTTGATATTTTTCAGTAGAAAAAAAAAATCTTATCATAGAATATCATATGATCTTTAATCAAAAACCTGAAAAATAATTTTGACCCATAAAATGTAAAACATACGCCCATACAACATAAGACTGGTTTTGTGATCCAGGGTCACATTTGTTTCTATATTATATGGAGAAATGTATCTATAATAATAATAGAAAAAAAATAAGCCGACATTAAAGGACAAATCACCCAAAAAAAAAAAAAAAATCTTCATCATTTAATAAGACTCAGTAGAAACAAAAAAAAATACTATGAAAGTTAATGGCTGCTTTCCTACATTATTCAGTACATTTTGTTTTTGAAAAAGTGGAGGGAGTAAATGATGACTGAATTTTCATTTTTGGGTGAACTCTTCCTTTAAATTAAGCTTAACACTCAGTATGTGTTAAACAACTGAGATGTTTTTACATGCAATACTCTGATTGCAAACAATTAAGAAACCACACTTAAACCAGCTAACCAGGGTCTTCAGTCTGACCTTCTATGCCAGTGTGTTGGAGTAGGTTGGAACTAAACTCTGCAGGACTTTGGCCTTCCTGGAGAACAATTACTAGGTGCTGAGCTTTATCTTCAGCCGACTGCCGAAATATATCCTGTAATTCCACATAATGATTTAAAGTCTTGCGGTTTTGTTTGCAAATTTTAGGATTATCCTCTGGTAAATAATTCATAGTGTTTGCACCAGAACGTATAAAAAGGCATTTTGATTTCCTTTTCTTCTTGTCTAGTGTTGTGTAAAAAAGTTTCCTCTTAGTCAGTTTGTACATTGGGACAACGTCAATTTCAATAACCCACTTAACACTGCTGTCTGTACATTTTACTGGAACAAACACAGGGGGCCTAATACACGCCCTTGCAATGTTACTTTTACCTTTAAAGTGCTCCTTCAGACCCTTATCAAA